CCCTTATCACTCCTTTAGGAAATGGATACTCCTAACTAAGAGTTGGCCAGGCAATAAGTTGTAAACTAAATTAAACTGAAGAATTTATGAATGTGTAGTGAATATCTAGGTAAGTTCTGAATGCTGAAGCCAAAGACAATCTTTTGCCCACAAAGCCCATTAGCAGAAAGTACTGCATGTTTTAACTAACTGATCAACTATTGCTGGAATTTCTCTTCCCAATAGTTTTGAAAATATTTGGTGGTTTAAATATTCTTCAAGATACATCTGAAGTTTTTACCCAAGACTAAATACAACATTTATTTGAAATTTTAATCTGCCTTAGCTGTCTTTTGGGGAGAAAGGCAGCCAGGATAAATCAAGGAAGTACAGGTAGTCCTTGATTTACGACCACAATTGAGCCCAACATTTCTGTTGCTAAGTGAGCTATTTGTTAAGTGAGCTTTGTCCCATTTTACGGCTTTTCTTGCCATAGTTGTAAAGTGAATCAATGGAGTTGTTAAGTTAGTAACATGGTTATTAAATGAATCTGGCTTTCCCATTGACTTTGCTTGTCAGAAAGTCACAACAATGATCACATGATCCCGGGATAGTGCAACCGTCATAAATATGAGTCAGTTGCCAAGCATCTGAATTTGGATCATGTGACCATGGGGATGCTGCAATGGTCATAAGTATGAAAAATAGTCATAAATCACTTTTTTCAGTGCCATTTGAATGGTCACTAAATGAACTGTTGTCCATCAAGGACTACCTGTATAATACAAATAAAAGTGATAATTGATTGCAAAAAAGATTGCTTGATCAAAGTGGCTTGCCTGTTTAATAAACACACTCTGTTATCACATTTTACACCACCCTTTCCCTCAACATACATGTTACATACAGTTGATTGGAGCAACCAGCAACTGAAGTTTCATGGCCTACTTATTTCCAAAAACAAATGATTTTTTTAAAAAAGAGAATCAACTGATTGTCCCCAAAATTAATTGAAACATTAATCCTCATACTCACATCAACCGCCAAGACAACTGAAGATCATGCTTGATAGGGGCAAACTGGAACCTGTTGAAAAAAGGGAGGAAGAACTAATTATGATTTAAGTGGCATTTAGGTTGTACCTAAATAAACAGGTAGTTGTTCACATTTATTACCATATACACAAGATCACACTTCCATCTGTGGCACTTTTTCAGAATAATTTCCATCACTTAATTCCAAATTTGCAGTGATTATGAAAGCAAACACTCCCACACTTCACTTGCTTTAAAAAAAAATCTTCTTTAGTAATTCAAGTTAATTTTATTAGCAATGTTTAAGCAGGTGGTCAGATTTTTCTGTGGTCCAAATTGAGAAGAACACTTTCTTTTTTCTCCCAATAGAAAACTTCTTGTGCAGGCTATTTAGGGTTCTTCAGGGACAATTCCAATTGGCTTTGCCCGTTTGTTGTGGAAAAGCTCCTTCCTCAACAAGTCACTGGGCACAATGCCTCCATGGCTATTTTGGCTTTGGATGCTAATATAGTTATGAATCACATAGAACAGAATAGAATGTTTTATTTGGCCAAGTGTGGTTAGACACACAAGGAATTTGTCTCCGGTACAGAAGCACTCAGTGTACCTATCAAGAAAGCCAACAACTTGGAGAAAGTGTACATGTTTTATAAGTCCAAAATTAGTAGGTTACAGCTAGTCTTGCGCCATTGGTCTCTTGCAGCCAGAAAAGCCAAAAGCAAGTGCCAAAATATAAGATCTACTTATGTAGTAAATTGATCAAAGACTGAGTAGGTGCACACAGTGATAGACAATCCCAAATTAAGAATGAATTGCAGAATGAATTGCTTTACAATTGATAAGGAAACAAGAGCAATGGCTAATCTTTATGATGTAAAAGCAACATGTAGTAGCAATGTTGATATACAGCACGGGTGTCAAACTCGATCATGTGACGTTTTTTGCCTTTGCGGAGCTGGGGTGGGTGTGGCCTGTGCATGATGCATCCAGCCCGCAGGCTGCCAGTTTGACCCCCCTGATATAAAGTATAAGTTGAGCCCCAATTGTTATTCTAAGAAGCTGGCCTTCATTCACACCAGGAAGAGATAAGGTATGGCAGCATATATCCTTAAATCCTGCCTTCTTTAAAGGCATGAACTCTGTGAACAGTTAGTTATTCGCAGCCACAGATTGCTACTATGGTAAAAATTCCATTCTTAAGGATACAAATATATAAAGAAGGACATATGTGAACTTAAACATATAGTAAACATACAAAAAGATTTTACCTCTGTTCTTATTCCATTATACTAGCAAGATCAGATACTCTCTCTAATTGCCTTTATACTGAAACACCAAACTTGTAGGTATCCTGCTATTTTGTGCATGATGTACTGTATGTGTACATATTGCATGTGGAGGGGAGGGTGCTTTGAGATTGTAAAGTACAGAAGGTGTGAGATACATCCAGAGAAATTTGGAAATGTGGCTGGATGGGAGAAGAAAGTGACTCTGTCTGACCAGAACTGATTTGAAGAGCAATCTGCTTCAGGAGGGAGAATGGAAAGAAAAGTCCAGAAGAACAATAACAGTGAGAGTCTCAAGTTCAGATCATTTGATTTTCAAATCATCACTCTGATAAGAGTTTTGGGGTAGAAGGTAGACTATTTATTTTTCTGGGAGGGTGCTTGTCCTACGAAATTATTTCATAGATGTATCATGTACATGTCATCCAGATTGGAATTATTTTCTGATTTCTAATTCTGAGACCTACAGGACTCTCCTCTTGCTTTCCTTGTTTTCTTGGTCAGACTTTTTCATGGATTCAAAATCATTGTCCTCTCCCAACTTCTTTCTTTGTCCCTGGGATTGCCAATAACATTTTCACTTTTCAGTTGCTGTGGAGACACTTTGAAGCTCTTTGATACTCTCCATCACTGCTGCCTCAGCTTTCTGCTGCCAAGTTTTGCTTGCCAATATGACAGCCAAAATCAAAAGAGGATGATCTTACACACTGTCCTATAGCAGTGCCTTTCCTGATTCTCCCAGCAGTGAGCAACCACAAAACATCACCCTGTCTGAACCACCATCAGCAGCTTAAGGCTGAGGAAGCTGTCAGACAACTCAAAAGATTAAGGAAAACATCTAAGCATTAATTACATAAAATTAGAGTTAGGAATCAGCAGCATTGATCTAGGAGCTGTGGGAGGCCTTGAGTGATGTCACCGTCAAGTTGGCTTTCGATGTAAAGGGGTAGATATAGTTATGATGCAGCTATCTATGTAGGATTTCCCCAAGTAAGTAATCCTCAAGTAAGGATTTGTGCATTTCATCAAAACAGAAATGCGGCGAGGAACATATTTATTATCACTGGTACAGCCAGAGATGAGACTTACTTAAGGTGACCAACTGTCCTCCTTTAGGGAGGACAGTCCTCCTTTTGTGAGTTCTGTCCTCCCTCAAAAAGTGTCCTCCTACATATCTTCCTTTTCGATATTTGAAGACTAATCTGCAGGGCTTTTTTTTTTCTCATAGAACACTCAGAACAGCGTTCCGGCACCTTTTTTTGATTGTTTTTTTTCAACTTTTGCATGAGCTGTGCTACTCCCACTATTGGCTTTCGAAAGCCAATAGGAATTGCTGCTGAGTGTGCCAAAACACCCGGCCGGCAAACTTTGCACATGTAAGTTGTCTGCAGTGAAGACGAATTGGCAGGAACTTTGCACCCCTCCCTGCTACCCAACTACACCATCTCCTAGTTAGTCCCGAAGATACCTGGAGGAGACTGGAGCGGCGACGCCACGGTCACTTTCTCTTGATCTTCGGCCCTGCTAGGGCAATAATGGCTGTAGGTGCAAGAGGCAGGTGGGGCTACTGTGGGCGGGGGTGTGAGGGGCAGCGGTGGCCGGCTGCCCCCCGTGCTGTGGGAGCCATGGGGCCTGCTTTACACGGGGCTGCACAGGGTGGGCGGTGGTGCTGGCAGGGCGGCTGCAGGCAGGGTGTGTCGATGGCGGGCTGCCCCCCGGGGCCGGAGCTGGCACAGCTGGTGCTTTGGGAACTCTAAAAGCTGAAATAAAGTTACTGGATTATTCTTAAACTTCATACATTATAGTGTGGAAAATGGGCTGGCTGGGAAATTCTGGGAGTTGAAGTCCACACATGTTCAAGCTTTGAGAATTACTTCCTTAGTTGATCTTGAAAAGCTAAGCAAGATTAGACCTGATTAGCACTTGGATTGGAAACCATCTGGAAATCCTGAGCCTACAGGCTAGGCTGGGAAGTTGAAAAATGATGCCTGAAGGAAGTTATGGTAAACCAATTCTAAATGCTTGTTTGCCAAGAGAGTCACAGACACATGTTGATTAAGTCATCAAGAATCTAGCTCAATTCAGTCGTGTTACTTATCTTCCTAAATGTATACACAGTATCACCTATGCTTCCAAATATGTCCAAGTACTTTAATCTGGATGGAATCAAGCAATCTAATCTTCCTTTGCACTGTAACTTCAAAAGCTGGCAAACATGAAGACTGCTGCAGCGTTCCCTATAATCATCAGGCTGAAATTCTTCAAAATTACTCTAATTGACGGAGGGTGAGTGAGAACATGCCCAGTTCATTCCAACATTTGGAAAGCAAAATGTAGAAAAATGGTGTGTTCCTCTTCTTTGGGGAGTGAAGTGGACCTTCACATAGCCATTCTAAGCAGCTCCTCTGCTTTAAGTCAGTGGCAGAAGTGGGAAAGATCCAGGCTAAAATCCTACTTCCCGTCCTTCTTGCATGCCATCCCACTCCCTCCTGGCTTGTGGCCAGGGGCGGTTGCTGCTGTACTTTGTAGAGAACCGCCCCTGTGAACAACTAAGAAGAAATAGTTAAGTACCGTACCTCTTTGCACTGTATATGGGCTGCTCCCTCCTCTCCCCCCACCTTTTTTTTAATTCACCAGGTGAGTCAGAGTGGAGGCAAGCTCCTTTCTTCCTGTTGAGAATGATTCAGGCAGGAGAGGCAATAAAAATTCCCTGAAAGAAGATAAGGAGGCACAGTGGAATACGCTGCAGCTGAAAAGCCACCAGACAGAGACCTCTCCATTCAACACCTCCGCTGGGAAGAAAGTTGGATTTGAGTCACCTCTGGAGACAAAGCTAGTCCTGGGTTGCTCGAAATGTCTCTACCTTGGCTGATAACTCTGAGTTGCCTTTCAGCTTCACTTTTCCCTGCAACTCTTGGCACCCAAAGAAGAGAAG